GGACCAGGTATGTCAACTGCAGGACCAGGAGTTTCACTGCTGCAGCGAGACGGTCGCAGCTGACCCTGGGGGAGGGGGTATGTGTGGCCAGCACCTCTCTCTCTCCCTGTAGCAGTGGGATCCAGACACAGAAGAGGTCCGCGGCCCCGGTTCTATCTGCAGCCCCAGCCCGTGGGGGGCAGAGAAGCCATGGTTCTGCCCTAGACAGTGCCCCCTAGTGGCTCACCTGCACCCACCACCCCCTCCCGCGGCTCCTTGCCAATGGCCTAGGATCTCCCCCGCACCTGGTCCTTGATGAAGACACAGGGGGCTGAAGTCAGACCTGTTCCTGCCAGAGGTTCCTAAACTAAGTATGTGTTATTGGTTAACCATTCAACCAATACAACTAGAGAAGGTTAAACAGAGAATTTTTAAATGACATTTACATCTCTAGCCCATATATGACAGGGTACCGGCATAAAATAATTGTATATAAACTGGTGGGTGATTCCTATAGAAATGAGTAGGTCTTTGAAGAAATGAGGGAAGGCAGTGAAGGCCTATAAGCTGAACAGCCTGCATCCACATGGGATTGTAACCCATCACATTCCAAAATGTAAGCAACACCTGGGCTTTAACTTAAAATGGGAAGCAGGTCAATCCATCTGAGCTGAAAATAATGAAACTTGGTCACAGGTTTGGATGAGCTGTCAGAACCTGGGCTATGGGCATTAAAAATTTAAGTTATGATTACCCAGATACGCATCTTCGCACATTATTCCTTGGTTCAAGTACCTAAGTCATGCAAATTAGCCTTTCCCTACCCAGAATGTTTTTTTGTAACACATGCTATATTCTACTTATCAGTAGCAAATAGAGAGGGAGTTTGCCCAGGAGGGAGCAGGGGACTCTGTATATGTGTGAGTGGGAGCATAGGCAAGGGCTTGGTGTGTGGTTTCTTGTTGCGTCTTCCCTCCTCCTCACTCTTTCTCCTGACGGCATAGGTGTGCTCCATGGAGCAAAGGATGCACAAATGAGGCTGGGTCAGCACTTGTAACCTGCATACCTGCGTGGGGTGTGCCATGTTTGTTTCTCACAGAAGGACAAGAGAAGAGCACTTCATCTACACCAAGTGTAAGCTGGTGTTTGCCCTGGAAGAGAAGACTCACAGATTGGAAGCATGGGTTTCTATGCTGCATTGCATACAGGACCAGGAGGATTACTTGGGCAAGATTTACAAGAGGCTGGTACTGGAGAAGCCAAAGGGTAATGAGAAGTAGCAGCATGTTACTACTTGAAGGAGGGCCTCCAGAACTGAAGACTAGCAAACTGAAATGAGCAACCATTTTCAAGTATTCTGCAGCTGAAATGCTGAAGAAGAGGCAGAGGAGAGAACACCTCTAGGCATGAGGCAGAGGAGGCAGCAGCTTAGAGAGCAGGAAGTGCAGGACACCAAGCAGAGGGGCTGCAGGACAACTGTACCAAGAAAGAAAAGAGAGGTGGTGGTTTGTGACTCCCTTCTGCAGGGGACAGAGGCACCAATTTCTCATCCAGATTGGGGAGCCCTGGTGGTGTGCTGCCTGCCCGGAGCCCAAATTCAGGATATCACAGAGTCTTCCAAAGTTCATCCATCCTTCAGACTATGACCCCTTCTCTTCCTATTGTCTATATAGGCATCAATGATACTGCCAGGAATGACACTGACCAGATCAGAGGGGACTATGAGGCTCTTGGCAGGAGATCAAAGAGCTTGAAGCACAAGTGGCCGTCTCATCAATTCTTCCCATGGAAGGCAGGGGTCCAAGCAGAGACGATTATACAGGCAGTCCTTGACTTATGACTTTCATAGATTTTTCATAGACATTACAGCTGGAAGGGACCTCGGAAGATCATCAAGTCCAGCCCCCTGCCCAAAGGACAGGAAGTCAGCTGAGGTCATAGGATCCCAGCAAGATAAGCTAACAATATTGGTCTAAGGAAAGAGCCTTGGGGGGCCCCACTGGTCACAGGGCACCATGATGATTGACTTCAGTTATTACCCTCTGGGTCCAACCATGGAGCCAATTTCCCAGCCAGCAGATCATGGTGGACCCAAGGCCACAATTGGCCAGTTTCGCCAGGAGGTGATCATGGGATACCAGATCAAAGGCTTTTCTCAAGTCAAGATATATGACAATCTTTTCTCCATTGTCCAGGTGGTAGGTCACCTGGTCATAGAAGGAAATGAGACTGATCAAGCAAGACCTACCTGCAACAAACTTGTGCTGGCTATCCCTCAGGATGTTGGCGACGGCCAGTCTATTAAGGATGGCCTCTTTATTAAAGTTTTCTAGGATCTTCCCCGGAATAGAAGTCAGGCTGATAGGACTATAGTTTGCCAGATCCACTTTCCTCCCTTTCTTGAAGATAGGCACCACATTGGCCTTCTTCCAGTCTTCGGGCACTACACCAGAGCACCAGGAGTTTTCAAAGATCTGTGCCAGAGGCTGGGCTATGATGCTCGCCAGCTCCTTGAGTACCCTGGGTGTAGATTGTCAGGTCCGGCTGACTTGAAGGTATCCAGCCTCTCAAGGTGTTCCTTCACAAGGTCAGCATTGATGGAAGGCAGGGGATCTCCCTCACCCGGACCTCCCTGTCCCGTAGTGGGCATGGGTGTCCCATGGGACTGATGAAAGACCAATGCAAAAGTATCTATTTAATAGGCTGGCTTTTTCCTGGGCGTCCGTTGTCAGTTGCCCCATTTGGTTCAGCAGGGGTCCAACGTTACCTTGCTTTTCCTCCGGCTCCCCACATATCTGAAAAAGAACTTTTTATTGTCCTTGATGCTTGAACCTAGTTGGAGTTCAGTTGCAGCCTCGGCTTTCCTGGTTGCTTCCTGCAGGACCGACCAGTGCAGAATATTCCTTTGAGTTGGGATGAACAACACTTATGACATTTGTAAATTGACACCCTGTTTCGAGGTTCCAATATGGAAAAACCATATTGCATTTTGCCTTTACAACACTCACACAGCTGCGTTCAGCTGGTAAGTGTGCTAAGGTGTGGGGGAGGGAGGAGGGAAGGGGCATGGGGGTGCAGATCAATGCTGCTGCGGCAGCAAGGGAGGGATTGCAGCTAGGGCTGGAGCCAGTGCTGGAGCAAGCTACCCAGTTGGGGCAGAGGTGTAGGGAGGAGGTGGGGCAGCTCCTGCTGCCGAGTGCTGCCAGTCCGAGAGCGAACGGGGAGAGGGGGGTGTGCCTCAGATCTGTGCAGGACAGGCAGGGCCGGGCCCGTGTCAGGCTCTGCTCCAGACAGAAGGCGCTGGGAGTGGGGGCTCAGCCCTCCTGCTGCTTGCCCAACCGGGATGGGGAGTGGGGCGCAGGACGCGGGCACAGCTCACCCTGTGCAGTTGCAGCGGCACTGGCAGCGGGGGTTATGCCTGCCGCCACTCAACCAGCCGAGGTGGTGGGGGGCATGGGGCAGAGGCACTGCATTGCCTCGGACAAGCAGGGTGCAGCAGCAGGAGCTGCTCTAGTCACCCCATGCCTCCTGGACAAGCCACAGCTTTGCCCCGTCCCAGCTGGGCAAGTGGCGGCAGGGCATAGTGGGGGCATGTGCCCTGGATCTGCACAGGGTGGCTGGGGCCACACCAGGCTGCGCTCAAGGCGGCCAGCGGGGACTATGGGGAATTTTAGGGCAGCTGCAGCCCACCCTGGTCTGGAGCACATGCCCCCATCATGCCCTGCCTCTTCCATGAACATGAAAACAAAACTGAAGTGAAAAGTACATTTAAAAAAAAAATGAAGCAAGTGAGAAGAATGCAGGTGTCAGTTCCACGGCCTGCTTCCCCACCTCTTCCTACGTAGTGTTTGTGATACAGTGATGCACTTGCAGGGTGAGAGTCCCCTGTCCCACTTCCTCTTAGTGATCTTTTGCCTCCCCAAAAGGGGAATCTCCCCCACAAAACTTCACTATTCCTATGTCAGCCAGCCCTAGGGACCCACACACTGATTTAATGTCCAGGTGTGGCTTGAGAGTCAAGCAAGGAAACAAAGTGGGAAGACCTTGTTCACATGAGGATCACAAGGGTACCTCTGCTGGAAGAAGCAGTAAGGGACAATTACAGTGCCGCAACCACCAGCACATTTCGGGGCTGTTCTGTGACAGCCTCCTTTCCTCTCTGAAAAGGATAAGTCCACTTAAAAAGCACAGTCATTGGCAGTGGCAATTTAGATGCTCAGAGCCCTGGGAAGTACCTTATCCATCTCTGGCAGGAGAAGAAAAGGTGGAGGAGAACAGAGGATCAAGACAACATGGTACTGCCACTGGAGTACTGCCTGTATTTTAGCCCCATAACTTGCAGTTACACTGCACAGTGCCTGTTGGCAGATGCAGGCAAGTACCCAGAAGCTGAGAAGAGTTTGCACACTGGACTGTACCTCAGCATAAGGATTATCTGTGTGCATGACAGTGATACAAGCATGAACACAAGCCTAATCTTGCATATATCTGTATAGATGCACCATAAGAATCCAGATGAACTCTGCCATGCAGACTTAGATCAAGATGTGGCAAGACAGTTAACACTGGCACTTTTGACGGCTGGTTCCTTAGCAGAGTGGAATGCAAAGCAAGGCAGAGAGATTTGTTCAGTTACAATGACAGGAGAGTCACCATACACAGATCCTCTATTCTGATCTTCTTACCATTCCCTGGCCTTCCCCAGCTCAAACCTTGCCTCTTCCAAAACTGCTTGCACCCTGACCTTTTCCACACCTCACCACACACTGCCCTAAATATATGGTTCCTTAGTTAAATACAGAACAGTAGAAATGTCACAAGTATAGTGGGAAGGTCATGATGTGGTGTTTAAGTGGTCGCTTTCTACAGAGAAGTAAAAAGCCTTCAATCTAGGTATGATGGTTCACCTGACCTGGTAGGATCTGCACTTGAGCGATCTTAGCTGCAAATTATCTTTCTGATGTAAGCATGACTTTCAATTAGCTTGTTTTTATGAGGCAGGTGATACCGGAATATCCATCTTTGCTTTATAACAACTTATATTTCAATGCACTAGCTTGGAAAAGTTATAAAATTCAGACTTATTCAATTTATTATAAAGAGAATACCAATTGCAAGACACCTTGCATAACATTCTCCCCAGCTTAATACACAATTCCGTACACTGTTCTCCACAATAAGTTACATAAAGGCAAATTTTATGTACATGTAAAAAGGATCAGTGTCCAGTATTATTTTCCACAGCATATTTGCCTTCCAGCAATCACAGATTTTCAATTCGTTTCCCTTAGGATTTTTTTAAACTAAAACTGAATTTCAAAATATATATCAATTAGCAGAGTTAGTGAACAGTTTTAAACTAAATTTCTTAATTTGTGGAGACTGAACAGCAGTGTTACCTCCACTGAACTAATGGAATGCAACATGCATCTGAAAAATTAAAGGTATCTTTAAAAAAAGTAAATCTTATCATATTACAATGAAGCAACATGAAAGAAGGTGACCAGCTTGTATTCATACTGCCTATCTTAGAGCATCTTGAAATACACCTGAGGATGATTTTGGCCTGGAGCTAAAAACAAACAAACAAAAAGTAAGTCCCCAACTCACTTTTGCATTGGGAATGTGAAATGATACTAATTGTTCTAGAATTCTGCCTTCAAGAGGTTTCCTTATTCCCCCCCCCCCTTTTTTCAATATAAATTCTTCCATAATTACATTGATGGCCATTAATACAGCGAGCTCAGTTACCAAAGTATTTCTGTGAATTCAGCCAGTTAACTGATTAACATGTTAGTCAAGCTCTTGCATACATTTTCCCCCCCAGTGAGTTTCATGGTCACGTTTATGTTTTATTTCTCCTTGGAATGTAAATACAGTACTTTCCTAGTATTACAGTGCAATGAGCCATACAAAAAGTACCAATACTCAGCAGACAAAACAAAACACTGTCTACCTAAAGTATTCCTTACCTTAAAATAATGCAAGTGTGAGACACAAAATATATCAGAACAACCAAAATGCTAAGTCATACATTCTGCTGTTGTATTTTTCCCTGTAAGTGTAATACTGTAGAACTACTGACTCTCAAAAGTTCTTTACTAGGTGCCTGAACTGGTGAAGTATGTAGATAACAGCATACCAGTCAAAGAAGAACTTCAACCCTTCTTCACTGAAAGAGGCACTGCATTTTTAAAGCAGAATTAAGGCTGTAGAATGATGCTGGTTCCTTGCAATTTAAAGTCTTCCGTTTCATACAGCATTAAGGATCCTTTTCAACCTACTGCTTCGCTGTTAGTCCTATAGGCCTGTTTTCGGAGATGGGTTTCTATCTCCTCCCTGAAGACCAGCATTCCAAGGTGCGAATGAGATGCTTCATTCATGGCTTTAGATTGGATACACATACGGTATTGCTCTGGAGTCAGCTCATCTGCACAATGTTTCTCATGCCAGAGATGAAATAGGCCTGGGACTGGTGTCCGGATTACAATGAGGTCACCATGCAAGTACTTTCTGTAAAGGTGAACATCCTCTCCACCCCAGCCTTTTACTTCCAAGTCAAATCCACCTATAATAAATGCAAAAAGAGACCATCAGAAATTTGTGTTGAAAAACCACTATTCTATCAAGTTCACCCTCTGGAATGTCATTTAAAAACAGCAGCAGATTTCATGACATTCATGGAATAATTAATGTGCAGTGGAAGCTAGCCTTCCACGTGGAATATTCACTCCCAGAAACATATGTTAGGGCCTTGCGACTGCTACTGAAAAGAGTAGTGAAAACAATGATCTCTCTCTAATTCTGAGATGTTTGATGTGGATTTTCACATTTGAAAATGAAGCAACCCAGGACCACATGAACAGCCAACTTTATGGACACTCCCCATTTTAAGAAACAATCTTGAAAAAGATATCCGCCTGTTGCATTCTCCCTTGGCTGACCAAAGTCATAAATAGTGAAAAAAAAAAAAAATTATCAATTTAGCTTAATATATAAAATGCAAACCCCCAAGGATTATGGGGTACCATCCCATGTGCACAAGGCATCAGGACTGCTACAAGCAATAATTCTGCATTAAGATTATGAAACATTGTAGTGTCAGCCAGATTAATTAATTACTACCATCAATTATTGGATCCAAAGGAAGACTGCTCAAAACTAAAGCAGTCAAACTTCATTCATTTTTAACATTATACCACAAGAGGGTGCCAAAGTACATCTCCAAAACCTGATGTATTTTTAATTCTTGCATAAAAACTTCAGATAAAATACATATTAAAATCAAAGGATGGAACGAATGTTCCCCTCTTCCACCACTAACATGCAGTGCATGTTTCAAATGTTTGGTTAATTCACTCCATTAAGCTGAAATAGACAGTCAGAGTGAAAGATTTATTTTGGTAAGTTATTCAATAAATGCTCTCAGCACTTGAATATTTTTTATATTTATTTTAACAATAATTTCTGTAAATATTTGTTAAACATAACCCATTATTAACTTATTTCTGTTAATATTATTAACTTATTTCTCTGGTTACGAGTGTCAAGTAGAGAAAAAAACTTTAGAACCCTTCACCAGAACCTGTAAAAAGCAAGTTAAGTGACTCATTCTTACCAACAGTCAGAAAGTCTGTCCGATATTGACAAGTCATCCCAAAACCGAAATCCCGCCAGAAGCCAGAATCCTTCTTGTGCACCTATAAATTTTAAAATATTTTAGCAGGTTTTTTTTATTTTCTCCTATAATATCAGATAGCTCAAAAGGCAAAGGGATATCAGGTTTGGTTTCATACCATACAAACATTTCCCTAGGGATCAAATAGCTTGATGCTATTTCGACAATTTTGTTTTTGTACATTCACCTGTTTCATTTCAACTACTTGTCAGCCTCCTTCAAAGTGTGGGACTTATGTAACTGTGTAGTCTAAAAATTAGTTGTATTTTAAAATCCAGCTATCACCGTCAATGTAGACAGGTTACATTCAAGGCACTCGAATCCATTATTATAAACTATACATTCTCATCTTGCCTACCTTGTTTTACACACCTGCTCCTTACTTGATCTCCATTCTTACTCTGACTGCTCTCCCCTTTCTCTTCATACCAACAGTTTCATCCTTACATCCATCTATTCTGCCCATGACAAATCTGCTTCTCATCTCTCCAGTTCACACTCCAGTTCTGCTTTTCCCCATTTTCATACTATTTAGTGTTTCTGTGCAGAGCTGAACAACAACTTCCTCCTCAACTTAAAATTCATGTCTCAGCTTTGATCTCTGAAAGCCACACACACTCCTCTCTGACCCTTAAGTCTCCTTTCCAACAACTTGGAATGCTCTTCATTTTCCTCTATTATCCACCAAACAAATGCCCTTTTAAATCAATGCCTTCTCTCTTAAAACCTTTTTTATTAACTCAATTATCCAAGATCTCTACAGGCAGTAAGACCAGCCAACTCAACTACGCTGGGCCTTATTCTTGAATCAGAGTCCTAATTCCTGCCCATCAGTAGCCTTTCCTTTCTCCCCATCTTCAGTAGTCCCAAAGTCTTCTCCCTCTTGAATGGTTGTCTTGTGTTTGTTGTTATTGGCTGTTATTTTTATTTACATTACAATGCTTTAGAGAGGCAGCATTTCCATTTGAAAAGTGCTGTACTACTATGACTTTACTATGAGTCTGTCTGATGTTGGATGAAGGAGGTAAAACCCTGCAGAGAAGACCACCATAACCCAAAATGCTTGTGCTATTAAGGGTAGTGAATATATAACTTGATGCACTGCCTCCCCAAACTGTGAGAGTAGACCAGACCACGCCCCCAAGTTTGACTTAGCAGCAAACACCGGCCTGTTGTAGATACCATTGTTTTATCTGCACTACTGAGGATGGGCAAGCACTGCTCTTCATTTTAATCTTTACCCCATTTACTGCCATGGGAGATATTCCAATTTATATCACTCAAGGGTGACTGCCAGCAGCTGTCCTCTGATATGGTACAGGTCTGCTCACTAGCTGGAATGCTGACTTGAAAACCATAAAGCACTTATACACATGCTTGCGCCACAGTGCTGGGTGCTTTTTAAAAAGTGCCCAATGCTGAGGCGCATATATTTGTATAAATGGTGAAATCCGTCAGCACTGAGAAAGTGACAGCAGCATGCTTTCAAACTAAAACACATCAAAGGTGTCTAAGTTCAAAAGCACACCACTGCCATTTTCTGCATGCTGACTGCATTTCGCTGCTTCTATAACTGAATGCAATGCAGTGCAGTGTGTGTCAGCTCACATGCAGAGCAGACTCAATTAATCAAGTCTGCTCTGATGTGTCGGATCTCCAGTGTGTTGCAGTGTGAAAAGGTATAAACGTCCATAGTTGCAGTGCGAAAAGTATAAATGCCCACAGTTACCAACTTCTCTTGATTAGTTTCACAGGTCACTACATACTGGATACAAGTTACCTAATAATCCAGAATTACTGAGTTTGTACTGTCAAGATCCATAGTCAAAGCTCTCATAAGTCAGTGTTTCTTCCATATGGGAAAAGGTCTATTTAATTAAGATCTCCATCAATATATCTTGTAAGTGTCTAGGACATGATAACATTCTCCCAAAAATCACTGGCCTATTAATATATAGCACTGTTTTAAGCTTCTTTAAAGTCAGGTCGCTTACCAATTGCTGCTCCACTGGGGGTGGCATATCTTGATTGGCGTAGACAATAGCTGGATTATAAAGGCTAAACACCACAGGGTAAAAAACTTTCTTGCCTGTAAAAATCAGAATAGATTTGTTACCGAAGCACCCCTCCTACTTTAAGGTAGACAGGAGAAGTAGCTGGAGAATGCTGTTTCACAGTCCACGCACAGCATGCTGCAGGAGTCTGACAGATACTCCTAAGGCGAGCTTATGCATAACTGGAAGACCACCCACATTGCCTGCTTGTACCTAGACTCCAGATCCTTCATTTGGGAGAATGCTTCTCTTGAGCTGTCACAAATCATCTTTTCAGCTTTGTATAACCTGTAGGTCCAATTCAAGACCAAGTTAAGATAAGATCCAAATGCAATGTTAATGAGAGGTCAGCCTTGCTGTTCACTTGGTCACCAAAGCTCTGTTTGGATGAGATTCCTTCCTTTTTTCCAAGAGCACCAGCATCCTATAATATGCATCAAGGCTCAGATATGCATTCACAGGCACACAAGAAAGGAAGAAGTCTTCTTCAACTTCTACTCCAAGCCAAATTAGCAATGCCATCTGCACTGTGGTAGAGATCAAGGCAGCCTCTCACTTTCACTACTTTAACATCATGGAGAAAGTTGACAAGATGCCCCCCTGGGGTGACCTCTCCAAACCTTTCCAAGTACTTAAATGGCCCCCACTCCATTATCATTGTGTAAAAGTGATGATAAAGTGAATTGAAGAAAAAGAGCTCGTCTGTCACATCTTTTGGGGGGGAAAAGTATCTACTCTTTGTCAACTGCCATTTGAGAAACAAAAGTATTTGAGTTTAAAAGTACATTTCAAATAATAAAAAGGTAAAAATAAAAAGCAAGTATTCCTTTTGTGACACCATGCTGGCTTACATATTGGGTTTATAAAATACATAAAACCTTCACTAGCTCCTGAAATCAAGGCCTGGAGAACTGAACCTAGGGATATGCGTATGCATCTCAGGTTCTAATTCTAACCCTGACACCAGTGTGTAGCCTTAATGAAAAAAAATCAGTTAATATTCAACCTCACCAGTAAAATGGTGATTATATTTATAACCCCAAAAGGAAGTTGTGGGGATTAAATAAATGCTTAAAAATCAAGGGTTGGAAAAGGGGAAAGAACCATGAAGGTCAACATAAAAAGCACTGAGAGACTGGTGGAGCACATACTGTGAGAAAAATTAAAAATCACACGATTGCCAAATTCATGATTTTCCAACTACATATTTCCCATGCTTGACTCAGCACTGATATAACCTTTTACTTTTGAGCCCATGAAAAATGCTTGAATTTGTTATAGATATTAAAAACCCATGCCCATAAAACATCAGCTTGTTTTCCAGACTCCCAGCTTGAAAAAACAGGTCAACTGAGTATACTGTACACAATACACAGTCTAAACATTCATATGTATTTTAAAATCTAGCTACGACTGTCAACGAAGACTAGTTGCATTAAAGGCATCAGCACAGTGAATGTTTGTCCTCCAGCTCGTTCATCTTCCCAGTTTCATTTTGAGTTTCTCCACCTTAATACTGCATTAATGTTTACATTTCTGTCTGAAGAGTAATTTTGCCTTGTTAAAAATACAGTATTGACATTACTCCACTACTCAAATTGTATTTTATCTGTGATCTTAGCAGATCCATTTCAGCCCCAAATAGAATGAAAAATTCTGCCGTTTGTTTGACTTAACAGAAACTTACCTGGCTCAGCATTCAAACGGCAACTGTTAAGGAACTCAGCTGTGAAGTAAATATCTACATCGCAGAAGAACATCAACACTTCTCCCTTCTCCCATGCTCTGGCCCCCATGTCAAGTCCCCGTCCACGATTAAATTCCTCATTCAAAGAGACCAGCGTGTAATTGTGAAAGTCAGTTTCCCTAAAAGAGGTGGGGTAGGGAGAAAGAGACGGACAGAGACAGACAAAGTATAAATAAAATAGTGTAGAAAAAGTGTGCAGTTTCTATAATTCCATACTTATCCAAAGATCAGACTAAAATGGTCAAGCTAATCATGTATTTTTATGTACCGTTTCTCTAATGCTCCTCAGAATTAAACAAAACTACTCAATTTAACGTGAAACAAACAAACAAAAATATAATACTACTAAAAAATTGCAAAGACAGATCTAAGCCTTCCTACCATGATCCATGATGTTACAGCTTTCCAGTGCCACTGTAATTTCCAGAGTACATTCAAAGGCACTTTCAAGTAGCCTTCTTAGCCTAAAACAGGGCTGGGGTGTTAGTGTTGAGTGTGTAGCACAGGAAGATGGCTAAATTTTAGCCTAAGTGGACAGCCTTCCCTATTCACTAGCACCAAATGAAAGCAACTCCAAAGGAGGCAGCCATCACCTCTGCCTCACTTAGAGAACCCTGAACTACACCTTTAATTTCACTTGGTATCAGGATTTTTCACAAAACACCCATGGCACTTTCTACACTTTCCGATACCAACCCATTAATGAACCAGTTCCAGCAAACTGAGCTATGCAGTCCTTCAAAGACTGTATAAATAATAATCCAAAGAGACAGAGAGCTTAACTACAAAGAATTAGATGCATGACAAGTAAACCTCAAGAAAGGTAAAATGCATAATCTCCTCTAGAAGACCACTTCCACTAGAAGACCAAAGAGAGTGGGTCCCTTGCTGAATGCAGAAGACAATCTAGTCACAAATGATACAGAGAAGGCTGAAGTATTTAATGCCTTCTTCATGAAGCCCGAGGTGAAGATTCAGCTACCATATGATGACTACAGCTAAAATAAGTAAGGGGACAAACATCCTAGATTAATGCAACAGATTAGGGATTACTTCAGATAAGGTGGATGCTTTCAGGGGCAGATGGGACTGAAGGAATTGGCCGAGGCAAATTTCAGAACCATTGGCTATCCTTTTTGAGAACTTGTGGAGCTCAGGTGAGGTTCCGGTTGATTGCCACAGGGCAAATATAGTGCCCATACCTAAAAATGGAAGGAGGAAGATCCGGAGAATTACAGACCAGTAAATCTGACCTCAGTACTTGGAAAGATTATGGAGGAGCTCCTCAAAGAATCTATCGTGAAGTATCTCAGGGAGAACAAGGTGATCAGAAACAGTCAACATGGGTTTACTGAGTAAATCATGCCTGACCAACTTGATTTCCTTCTATAAAAGGACAGGCTCTATGGATGGGGAAGGAGCAGTGGATGTGATATTCCTCAACTTTAGAAAGACTTTAGGAAGTCTCCCACAACATTATCATTGATAAGCTAAGGAAATACAGACTAAATGATACTGTAAGGTGGATATAAAACTGTTGTCTCATCATGCTCAATCAGTCGCCATCTGTGGCTCAGGATCCAGTTGGGAGGAGGCATAAAAGTGAGGTTCTTCAGTGGTCTGTCCTGGGTCCAGTATTGTTTAACACCTTCATTAATGATTTGACAATGGAATCAAATTTGTGGAAGATATCTAGTCAGGTGGATTGTGGATGCTCTGGAGAGTAGGGCTAAAATCCAGAGTAACCTGGATTAGGTTTGACATCTGAAGAAAGGCTAAAAAGCCTGTGGCAGAACACTTTCATGTCCCTGCACACTCCATCACTGACCTCAGGACTGTTGTTCTCAGGCAAAAAAGAAAAAATAAAAACCCACAACAGTCTGAATGGGAAACTGCAGAACAAATAGTCATCCACAAAATGGACTGTGTTAAATATGCTGCTAGTTTGCTTCTCTCTCTTAGCCCTACCCCATTCTCCCACCTGTTTCCTGTAATCTATTTTCTCTCGCCTCCTTATACTCTGCTTCCTGCACATGCTTTCACAGCTTCTTATGAAGTGAGGCAGTTCACAAAAGCTTGTGCTCTGCATGTTTTAATAGTTTAACTATAAAAGATGCATAGCTAACCTGCCTTCTAATTGAGTTCACACTAACATGGCCAACTACCTTTCTCTGAACTGGGGGGTTTGGGATTAAATACAGCCTGTGGGCTGGATGAGTGGCACAGGGCCAGTCTGCAGGCTGAATCAACCCCCTGTTCCTCCCACCCTGCATGCCTGATTTAACACAGACAGGACTGCCCAGGCTAACCTAGGATGATGGCCTGAGTGTGCGCTGCAAAAGGGACAGTACCAGGGGCTGGATTATGTTCAACACCCAACCTGGCTAGACTGGTCTGCAATCCATCAAATGAGATTCAGCAAAGAGATGTGTGAAATTCTGCACCTGGGATAGAATTACTGCACACAGAAATACAGACTGGGGAACGAGTGGTTAGACTGCACTATTGCAGAACAGAACCTGGGGGTTACCGTGGACCATCAGCCGAGTATGAACCAACAATATGCTCTTGTTGCAAAGAGCAGCAAAAGCCTCCTGGGTTGCATTAATAGGAGCATCTCTTGCAAATGAAGGGAAATGATCCTTCTGCTATATCCAGCACTGGTGAAGCATACCCTGAAGTACTGTGTTCTAGTCTTGGGCCCCGTACTTCAAGACAGATATGGACAACTTGGAAAGAGTCCAGTGCCTTGGAGGCAAAAATCATTTGGGGCCCTGGAGGCAAGACATATGAGGAATGGCTGAAAGAACTAGGGGTGTTTACTCTGGGGCAGACAAAAATCAGGGAAGGGAATTAGGTAACAATCTTCATATACCTCAAAGTCAAGTTAGAGAGAGGACTGAGAAGGGCTTTTCTCTGTGACCACAAGGAACAGGACTAGGATCAAGAACTTCATGCTACTGCGGAGAAAACAGGGTGGAGATTAGGAACTATGAGGATGGTTAAGCATTGAACACACTACCTAGGTATGTTGTATGGCTGGAGGTTTTCAAGAGCAGGAGAGAGATACTTAGCTGGGATGGTTGGGTTACAGGTAATTATGCCTATGGCAGAGGTCTGGACTTGACAGCCTCATGAAGTCCCTTCCAGCCCTACTTTCCCATGATCCTAACTCATACAATTCTTCCTTACTCAGTCATTTGATTGGTTTTATTGATCACTTAAGTGCAGAGCCTCCTGAGAGACTTGCTAACTTACCTAGCTACTGAATCTAAGATGCTTTTCACTTCAGATAGTCCATCTTGTCCAAAGTAGACCACTGTGAGGTGAATCCTCCTGTCCTGATGAATGCAGACATCCCTATTAAAAAAAAAAAAAAAGGGTGATATCTATTTGCAACATTTGCCAAAGGGATATCTTAATTCAGGATTTTGACATGATCACTTTTAACATATGCAGGAAAATCATTTGCCTATAAATGATTCAATTTTGAATTTAACTGCACTACGTTAATCCAAATGAAGTATCACGTGCAGCTTGTGACACGATTTTATCAAAATTCAGAAAAAGCATTCATTATTGCCACTCAATACAAATAGCACAACAGGTTACTGTGCTATGTTTATAATACATTCATTTTCCTATAAGCTGTTATTTTGCCTTTTGTTTCTCTTTTTAATGACTTTTTCAGACTGACACCAATTAATGTTCCTTTTTCCATTTTTCCCAATTCAAATACTGTCACTTGCATCTCAGTGCTTTATTCTATGTAAGGTGACGACAGCTTAATCTACTATAATTTATCAACCTCAGTGACCCTCAACTAAGGTCATTAAGCCACAGGGAACTAAGGCCCTCGTATTCTCAGACACCACCAGAGTTTAGGGCATCACAGAATAGCTCTGTTTAAAAGAATTGTTTCTCCAATGCAGCAGGGTGAACTACAAGCGTTCTGTGACGCTTGTCACTACCGGAGCTGTAGCAGAGCAAACAAGGCCATCAAAACAAATATTTACTTTCAAAGATGCCAAGGAGGAGCTACACAGCTTGAGAGGATCTAATCCACCTACCTAAAGTTTTGCATAAACTGTGCAAATGTCTCAGTCCTTCCAGCCAGAGGGACAATAATGTTAATGACTGATCTGGAAATGTCAACTGTCTCGCTCTTCACTTTCATGAGGGGTCCAAACGGTCGAAACAGCGTGACATGTCTATACTCCATACCATCTGTCTTCTTATAGAACAATTCATACTGCGTTCCCTTATCTCTTTCTGTGCGATAATAACCTGAAGAATAAGTCACAGTATCAGAGATCCAACCTGGCTACCATTCTTAGCGGCACCGCCTTTAAAGAACTTTAACACACATTACACACTATTTGTAAAAAATTAAGGTTGTTTGAGAAAGGTATTTTGGTCACATGCAAAAGAAAACAAAAACAATTTTGGATTTTTGTTGAAACAGCAAAAAACCACAACTTCCCCCAACTCCCAGGAAAAATCTGGTACATGTGCAACCCTTTTCATCCCAATAATTCTTACAGAAACTTCCATGGGGGGGGGGAGAGAGGAGGGCCAGAAATTAGTCACAATATTGTTATTAAATACATTATTATTTACTCTGTATATTACATACAAATCTCAAATGTTTTCTGCAAGAATAACAAATTGGATCTTAGAAAAATGAAAGCTAGCATTCAATTTGATAATCTTTATGGAAATGTAATGGAAAACCAACACTTTTTCCTGAGATAAGCCCTTTTTTGAGTAACAGTCAAAACAAGCATGAGCGTTAGTAGAGTTGACTATAAAATCTACTGTAGAGAAGAAAAATATATTTTAAAACATGCTCTTTTGAAAGAGAGTTGGATAACTTTCCAAGACACTTTCTCCATGGAAAAAGGTACATCTTAAGGGTACAGACACACATGCTGCATAAACCGTTCTAAATGTAGTTTAAGCTTCAAGAGTCTAGACGTACAGGCCACTTCAGACTGGTTTAGGCTTTCCTAGAACGCTCCAAAAGCACACTAGGAAAAAGATCAAGTACTGTTTTAATCTGGTCCTCCTTGAACCAATTCAAGGTTACACGTGGACACAGAGCATTCCCTGCCTGGTATCTGGTCAGTCCTCTAGACCAGTGGTCTCCAAACTTTTTTGACTGCGCACCCCTATCAGTAAAAAATTTTTGAGTATGCACCCACAATATATGTATATTTATATAAATATACATCTAAAAAGAAGTTCTAATATTTTCTTCCCACACCCCAATGGATCATCTTGCGCACCCCTTGGGGTGCGCACACCCCACTTTGGAGACCGCTGCTCTAGACAGCTCAAACTTCACTGCTCCCACCCCCACACAGGGCAATGGTGCTGCTCTGGGGGATTGTACTGCCTGAAGACCTATTTTGCCTACAGAGACTACAGTCTACAGGTGTGGGGAAGTGTAAAGGCTTTATATCCGTTTCCCATCCTTGCTAGGACCCCACACGGGCTATGCTCCCACTACAAGGGAAGGCAAAAATCCCCACAGTACATACAAATCTGACCATGGCATAAATTTCTTCCAGACCTCAAATATGGCAATTGGTCTGACCCCAAGTGGAGGGTCAAGGTCCTCTAACCATGAACATCCAAGCTAAAGTCCCAGCAGGAACAATGGTATACCTCAGTCAATACTCCCAGCCTTGGCTTCATCCAACACCCAATGCTGCTAAGGAAGACTTAAAAAACAAAAAACCATGATGATATGTAGCAGAGGAAGTGGATGGGGTGGGGGAAGGGGGAAAACAATTCCCTCCCAGTTCCACATGGCAATCAGCAAGGTCCAGAAACATGGGAAATACCTATAGCAGAACATAGGCATAGATATGCCTACATCATCCCTGACCAGTTGCTCTCCAACCTCTTCTTGAACATCTCATGATGGAGAGTTCACAAACTTACCCAGGCAGTCTAAGAGTGAAGAAGCTTTTCCTGATATCCAAGCTAAACCTATTTTGGGGCAACTTTGAGCCACTGGTCTGCATCCTACACTCCGTGGCAAGAGAAAAAACAGTATTTTCCCTTGTCTTTATGGCAGCCCTTTACATGTCTGAGGACTGCCATCACGTCACCTCTTGCATACCTTTTCCGCAAGCTGAACGTGCTTAGCTCCTTCAACCTCTGCTCACGTGATTTGCCTTTGAAACCCTTTATCATCTGAGAGGCATTATCACCTCCTGTGTCTTCCACGTAATGCTTCTATTGATGCATCCCAAAACCACATGTGACTTCTTTGTGACTGTGTTGCACCGGAGTCGCATTAAGTCTGCTGTCTACCAAGACTCCCAGATCTTTCCTCACAGTGCTGCCACGGCCATCCAGCCAGATGTCATTAATTTTGTGTCTGTATTTTTTATGGTTTTTCCTGAGGTGTAGCATCTTGCATGTCAGGGCTGAACTTCAACCCATTAGTGCCAACGGAGCTTTCCAATCTGTTTACATCCTTATGATTTGTGCTCCTGTTTTCCAAATCCTTCCCTTGCACTGCTTATTCATTAAAAAACTCTTTCCAACAATCAGCTGTGTCCTCAGTCTATTTAACTACAGTCCCTTCATCATGTCCCTCCCAGTTCCTGGGAATCAAGTGTTGGTCCAAGCACTGACACACCCCTCAGTCAGGCAAGCAGGTTGCAGACTCTAGTTACTAACATGCTATTGAAGTTTACTGAATTTGTGTTAAGTAATGGAGGGAAAACAGAGAAATGGCAATTCCTCCAACCATAGATCATCCACCCTCTGCGACTCCCCCCTCTCCCCCCTGCCTTCAAACATATGGGGGCAAGCTTGTGAGGTTTGCCAGGCTGGGTACTGAGCTCACCTCCACCCCCTAGTGTTAGTGCCACAGCATTTTACACAACTGTGAACCTGTTGTTAGATTGGTGACATTTTTCAACAGTTCAATTGTTACATGTATCCCACTCTAAGCAGCTGTATTACTCTGGAGCTGGCATAGGCAGAACTGACTTGCATGTTGGCACAGTCCTACTTTACACTGGCTCTAGTATGCAAGTTAACCCATTAATAGCTAACTCCAGTTCTGACAGAGCTACAGAGAATTGAGCTCTATAAAACATACTAGAGCTACTCAAGTCAGGAGGTAATGGGCTTGCTGGGAGAGTACAAGTTGTTTCTGTTCTTATAATCTATGAAAGGTTGCAGAGGTATAAACTGTTTGTGCTTTTGAGCCGTGTGTAATTCTTCCCCACTCTCACCTGCAGCCCCCAACTGCTAAATAAAAACAAAACACCTGGCTTATCTCACAGGTGACAGATTCCAAAAGGAAATAAAGAGGGCTACTCAAAAAGAAACAATTGGAGTTGCAGGGTAATGAGGTGCTTGATATGCAGGGAGCAGCATACCATGCGCCATTTTGAAAGAAGAGCAAGTCATATGCTATGGAGCTTCTTGCTTTTATGCCTCTCAGTAAGCACCTGGCCTCTCAGTAAGCACCTGAGCCTGTAACCATGACATTTTCTGTGCCTGTTTCCACTGCACTACAGCATCTAACCCTTGAATGACTGCATCCCCATGCAGAAGTTTTACTTACACAAACAATGAATGAGTTCCTACAGAGCTGCTTCCTCTAGACCACAGATTGGCAACTTATGAGCAGTCTTCTACTTATGACCCAGCTGCTGCCATGAGTTGCTGATCCCATGTCCTCTGCTACAGCCAACCATCTGCTGCCACCTCCATCATGTGCCACTAATTCCCATTCCAACACCAGTTACAGAAGGCAAATTGGGTAAGGGTCAGCAGCACCTGCCTGAGGAGGAGTGATAAAGCAGTAGGGAGAGCTGCTGAGAGCAGTGCTGTGGTGGGAATCTGTAGCACAGCACAAGGTAGAGAAGGGGGATGTGCCAGATCAAGCCACACCCACCAATTCCTCATGCCACTGCAGCCAGATCTGATCTTTTTGCAGGATATACTCAGCCTATGGACCACGGGTTGCCAAACCCTGCTCTACACATCTTTCCGATGGAGCTGGATGAAAAGGAACAGGTTTTGAAGTGGGCCAATCTCTAGTAGAGGCAGTAACATCATATACAAAAGTTCTGAAGCGGCCTTTCAACTGGCTAACAAGTATAAGTGTCAATCATTCCCACCAAGTTTTTTCTTCAAGTCCCTTGAATGAAACAACGTGTTAAACAACCATTCCGTGCCATCTACTTGAGGAGGTAACCAGGTTGTAGCTGTACTGGTCTAGAGGCAAAAGGAATCAAAACTTGTGGAAGAGGTGATACCTTCTATTAGACCAACTAGGTATTTGCAAATATCTAGCTGATCTAAATAACGAGATAAATCACCTCTTGCACAAGTTTTGATTCCATCTACTTGAGTATGCATTTTCTGTACTTGAGCATGCATCTCCTAAACATGATGCTACATGCATGTTAGAAGAGAAGTAAATTCTTGTGGATTTATCCTCCTGTTTCTTTAAAATTCTATCATTTGTCAGTCAGGGATCTATGTTAGTCCAATTCTGTTCCTTATATGGCTCCAGATTCTACTCCAGCTGACCTCAAGTTATTTTACAGTGATTAATCTTTAGCCAGCAACAGCATTTTCCTGTTAAAAAAAAAAAAAAGGCTGGAGGAAAGAAAAAATTCTAAGTCATTCTCCTTTTTGACAAAGCACAGAGACCTGTAATCATCTGGCTAAAAGTTATATTGCTTACTGCTCCACAATAAGCAGTCTGTGCATCTTTGATCACGTTAAATGAGAGCAGCACTTAAGCGTTATCTGCAACACTCCAGACACAGGACTGGATGCAATGTGTTACAGATTACTATTTTCAGTAGAGTAATGGGCTAAGTACAGACAGTCAAAAATCCCAAGGTTGAATGAATTCAATTTTCACAGGTTAATTTGAGCTGTGTAGATTGAACAGGTAAGCAAGTAAACAGACATTGGCTTTTGATTACACCAATGCAGTCACATGCCTGCAGTGGCTCAGGCCAGAAGCCAGGGGGTGCTAGAGCACACCTTCCTGCATTGCTGGAGCAGACAGCTTGGGCCAAAGCTAGCTCACTCATCCTGCAAGACAGGGGTTTGCAGGGGAAGGTGCAAAGCATCCTGGGATGCGGGGGATTGTGAATTAACTTGAATCTAGAGATGATCTAGGACAAAAGTTCAATAAACCAATTTAACATAAATCAGTTTAGTCTGATACTACAGCCAAAGTGGTTTATGCGCACTGATTACAGATTTGAACCAGTTTTCGATCACTTTTATTGGTT